TTGTTAATGACAAAGCTCTAATTTGCTTTGTCATGAGGACAGGATTTCAGACAGATGCAATGCACAAGTCTGTTATACACTCTCATAGGATGTACACTCAGTCAGAATTGTAAACTATTTAGTCAGTTTAGTAGAAAAAGTAGTAAGTACTGCAAGTGAACACTTCATGTATGTTGGCAGATTACCCTCAAGTAATTGTTTGGTTATATTGATCTGGACATTTGAATAGGATAAACTGTTGAAAAATGTTCTGATTGAATTAATTTGAGACTGCCTCTTTTATTTTCTTTCAAAAATCAGTTTTGAAGCTATTGGTTCTCCATCAGGCCTCCTATGCTGTGTAACAGATTGGAAAATGCTCACTATCATATTGTTTATCTTTCATGTACCCTGTTACCATGGTACTCTAGTCTTTATAACAGTTTTATCAGAAAAGGATCATAATTATACATGCTAATATAATCCTCACAGTCCACGTGAGTAGCTCTAATGTTCCATGTATCATCTGCCCTAATTTTCTTGGAAGTAGGCATTGCTGTGTCTATTACATTTTGACAATGCAATCTCAGCCCTACAACTAAAACTTAGCCTTTGGCCATTGAATTTCCATTTGACATTCTGTTTTTTGCAATTCTATGTAATATTCTACTTATTTATTCTCATCTGGCAGGTTTGAAAATTTATGACTTAGTATAGTAGCTATAGCTTTGTGGTCTTTGAAATGTGTATTTCTTCTTGATAGCTGAAGTCTGTCCAGACATTTGTTTACATAATGAAATCTGTAGAAACTTGATTTTCCCAGCAGAATAATTATAAAATTTTCTGTATTCAGTTTTAATGGATTATCTTTGGACATAAATTAAAAACAGAGCCCGCAACTTGCATCAGTGCTGTAATTTACTTTTCATGTTGAAGTAATAAAAGTCTCGGTGAATAAGTAGAGTTACACTTGACAATGATTCAGAGCCAGTAAACTGAAGGCAGATGCTGCCTGCTGACATGCTGTACGTGCAGTTCACCTTCCAAGAGCAGCTCCAGCTCACAGCTATTTTGCATAGATGCATTTCAAACTTCTTCACACATCTGTGGGAATCATCCTTCCTAAAAACCTCACACAACTGGGATGATTGGTATGGCTGAGACTCAGATTTTGGGAGCTTTTCATGGACAGAGCTCTAAGATGCTTCTTAGGGAATTAGGATAGATCAGCCCTTACCAGAACTCTGAGATACAGATTCCTCTGCTTCACCTCTTTAACAGGAAATCTCTACCCTCTTTTTTTTTCCAGGTCTTTCTGATTGTCTTTTCTGAAATGCCCCAGTTTAGCCAGAGTTTAGGTAGCATGCACTGCCATTACAGTAGTGTGTACTGAGTCAGCAGTAGAAAAATCTGCTCTGAACACTGAATTGGTGAGGATGCAAAAGCAATTTAATGAATATTAAAATGTAAAACTTTGCAGGAGTCTACAGCACTGCTTATGTTATTAATTGCACCTGATTTTTTAATAGCCTCTACTTTAAAAGAAGATAAAATGTCACGAACTTCTGGATTGCACAGCATAAAGGGTTTACACAATCAAAGGGTTTTTCCTTAGCAGCTAGGTCTTCTTTCTTGAACAAGGAGTTGTCTTCTTTATTGTTTCTTACTCTACCGGCCACTAACAAAAGAGAAGTATTTGAAGTCTAGAGTAAAAAATTACCTTAGAAGAAGAGTTATTGGATGTAGAGGATGTGCAAATAGAAACACTGGAAATTATTTAGAAATTATTTGAAATTATTAAAGACTGTCTTGCTTTTATGACCACAAAAGTGCTTTCTTTTCCTTCCCTGATTCCCAATTTAATTAGATTTAATAGCTCTCTTAATCTTGGAAAAAAAGCAATGTATGAAAAGAATATTCAACCTTCAGGGACTATTAAAGAAATGCATGCCTAATATCTCACACAAAGGCATCTCCATCTCCTGACAAGATATCACCATGCATAGTAGAAACACAGGAGGAGAATTAATATGGAAGACACAAAATTTCTGGCAGAACTCCCATGAGACAATCACATTTCAGCTAAGATTAGTCCTGTTTCTGGTTCA